TGTCCAGCTCAAGTGAAATCAGATGAACATCTTGGCCCTTTCTTAACCTTGACCATTAGAAAAGGAACCTGGAAAATCATCAGCTGTTGTTTAAGAAAAGGTCAAGAATGAGCTGCCAAGAAGACTGAACTTCTCTTGTTGCTGGGGATCAAGGCCAATGCGGGAAAATATACTCGGAAACAAGAAGGATGATAGGTAAGGAGCCAAAAAGCAACAAGAGAAAATGAAAATGCCAAAGTGAGAAATATTGACCAGATCATTTAAGGAGAGAACTTGAGGGCAAGGAGTATAGATATAAAATAATGGAGATGGAAGGGCTCTAGGAAGTCAGCTAGTCTAATCCCCTATTCAATGAATGTTCTGTAATGCAGGATGCAACTACAGCATCCTTGGCACAGGTGGCCATTCTGCCTCTTCATAAATGTTAAGGATGTACACAGGCCTCAAGATTCACCTTGCATCTGTATCTGCTTATTTTTAAAAAATATAATCTGAGTTGCTCCATTCTCTCTCTCTCTCTCTCTCTCTCTCTCTCTCTCTCTCTTTATCTCATTTGATCTGTGTTTAAGGGCCCAAGCTGATCTGCCTAAAGTGAAGCTTTGTGTTCCCCCACTCACTATAATGGGGAATCTGAAAAAAATGACTTTTTGGCCAAAGTGGATGAAATTTGCAGGCACAGGAGTCCTTACAGAGTGGATTCAACCTGCCAAGTTGTAGACAAATAGCTTGAAGTGCACGGGGGGGAGGGGGGAGAGGCAGGGAGGCAAACAAAGATCCACTTTCCTCCTTAATCGCTTGTGGGGGGAGGGGGTGTTCTTTCTTTCTTCCTGAAAAATAATTAGGAGGTAGCAAAGTGGTGTGTACTCTTGGTGGTACATCTTTTTGAAAATCACAGCTTCACAGTCACAACCGCCTTTCTTTCTGGCAGGTGTTTGTGTTTTCCAAGAGGCCTTTAGGGACTTCCCAAGAGGCCTTAAGATGTGAGAGGCTGTCCAGAATGCTACCTGCAGAGTTCTGAAGAGCTCTGTGATTTATTTATTTATAAAGCCGAACAATGTAGGATTTTTTTTTATTTAAAAAAAACCTTTAAGCTTTTAACTTAAAAAAAAAAATCCTTCTGCTGTGCTTTAACAACAACAACAACATCCAGAGAGCTCTTCAGTGTGTTGCAGCCAATATTTTGGACAGCCTCACTTCTTGAAAAGTCCACGGATCTCGAAAAATATAGAGATATACAAGAAAGCATAGAGCTGTGCATGGCAGAAGAATAAAGGAGCAGAACAACATAATATGAAGCCAGAACACATTCAACTCTCCCCTGTGAATTTCAGGGGAAGACTGTTGCAGCAACCAAGCTCATTGTCTCATTGAAAAGTCTTGATGGGCTTCCAATGAATCCCAGAGTTCCCCAGAACATAGTTTGAAAGTCACCAGTTGAGAGTAACATAAGCTTTCGCAGAGCATTCCCTGGTTCTGCTGCCTGCTCAAGCAAAGGACACTGCAGCAGGAATATTCAATAGATCTTTTTTTTTTCTGTATTGGGCTTCTGTGTAAATTGATAGAAGTAAAATGTTAGCAGAAAAGAAGCAGGGATCTCCACAGCCATAACACAAATACTCATTTTACACAGTCAGAAACCTCTGATAACTCGCCTCTTTCGATTTCCGCATGTCGAGTTCACCTGCTGAATAATATCACAACCACTGGGTTAATTCTGGTTATCTTAGCTGTCAGTGTCTTCATCAACTACATTCTGGTTTTCTCCTCTTGTCTTCACCCCCGAACAACTGTACCACAGTCACTGCAGGGTGTACCCCTGAGCAACATCAGGAGTAGCAACGGCTCAGTAGAAGAAAAATGTACATCTGCCAAGCTAAGCCATTCCCACATTTTAGTGCGGGTAAATTTGCTACACCCTGATTCCCCTTGGGAATCATCATATCTTTATGATAATGTAAACTGATGTTTGCTTGATCCTGTGAAATGGATTTGCCAATGTGTGTAGATCAGCCTCTCTCAACCTGGTTCCCTCCAGATATTTTGGATTACAAATCCCATAATACCCACAATTGGCTGTGCTGGCTGGAGCTAATGGGAGTTGAAGTCCAAAAGATCTGGAGGGCCCCATTCTGGTTACCCCTGCCCTAGGCAGAGACATTTTAGCCAGAGATATCCAACGAGCGCAGAGCAAAGTCATGGATTTTGAATGCAGATTTTCATCCAAGAAGTCATCAACATTACAAACAGGATGCTGTTTTATATCCCATCAGATTAATTGTCCATCTAGCCCATTGTGTGAGGCAGGAATGCTATTGAATACCAGTTGCTGGAAGCCAAAAGAGGGAAGAGCGCTCTTGTGCTCAGGTCCTGCTTATAGGTTTCCAAGAGGCATCTGTTTGGCACAGAGAAGACGCCTTTAGAAGAGTGGCTATCATATTGTCATTATACAAATCTATGGTGCGACTTGGTTTAGAATACTGTGTATAGTTCTGGTCACCTCACCGCAAAAAGTATATTGTCAAGTTGGAGAAGGTTCAAAAATGGGCAACAAAGAGACCAGGACCCTGCAGGATTTAACTTCCTTCCACAGGGCCTGTAAGACAGAGCTATTCTGCCTGGCTTTCAATTTGAACTTAGCCTGATCTTTTATTCCCCTTCCTTCCCTCCCCATCCCCTTTTTATGAAGATTACCCGCTCTGGGATCCCACAGCTAATTCTCCCCTGGTCTCCTCGCTGCCCCAAATAGGACTAATTTAGCCAGCCAGCCCTGGTGATCATCTAATGTTTATTGGATGGATTTTCCCCCCTAAATTGATTTTTGAATTCTGAATTTATTGTTATTCACATTTTATACTGTATTTTATGCTTTTCTTTGTTGCATCAATTAAGTGTTTTAAATTTGTTGTTAGCCACCCTGAACCCGGTTTTCTGAACCGGGAAGGGCGGGGTGTAAATAAAAAAATATTATTATTTATTTATTTATTATAACAAAAATGATGAAGGAGATGGAGCAACTCCCCTGTGAGGAAAGGTGGGGGTATTCTGGACTTGTCAGAGTAGAGAAAAGGCCAGTAAGAGGTGACATGATAGAAGTTTATAAAATCAAGCATGCTGTGGAGAAAGTAGACAAAGGAAGGTCTTTCTCCCTCTCCCATATCACTAGAACTTGGGGACATCCAACAAAGCTGAACGTTGGAAGACTCAGGACAGATAGAAGAAAGTACTTTTTCATGCAGTGCATAGTTTAACTATGGACCTTGCTCCTGCAGGAGTCAGTGATCACCACCAATGCTTTGAAAGAGAAATGCTTCTGGGAGATGATATATAATGAGTTGGAAAAAATGTTGAAATATACATTTATAAAGAAACCAGAAGCATTTTTACTGGGCATTGTTGGGAGTGATATAAATAGAAAGGAATGTAAGCTCTTTTTATATGCAATAACAGCAGCAAGAATATTATTGGCCCAAAAATGGAAGCAAGAAGAATTACCGACGACTGAAGAATGGAGGATAAAGTTAATGGACTATGCAGAACTAGATAAACTAACAGGAAGGATTCGAAACCGACGGGACCAGAAATTCACGGAAGACTGGAATAAATTTACGGATTATTTGAAAAGTATTTGCGAAGATTAGACGATGTTTGTAGGTTTGCAAGTTTTGTGAGGAGTATTATTGGAAGTATTGCAAAAATGGAGAAGGGAAAGGATGATTTGTTAAGAGATGTAAAGGCAATATAAAGTTAAGAAATTTATAAGAAGTGGTTAAAACGGTGGATCATCAGAGGCACTGATGGAAGTCTAAAAAGATTGTATAAGTGATAAGTTTTGTGGTACATTTTATTATTTATATGTTAAAATCAATAAAAATTATTTAAAAAGAAAGAAATAAAGAGAATGGAGCTGGGCCTCCAGCAAAGTTGATGGAATGAGCCTTCTGCTTCCCATCTTCCCCACTGATGGAATGGCTGCCCCCAGGTGACAGCTGAGGTGCAGATGCCTTCTCAGATCGCATGCACATGCTGGCCGATTGAACAGTTGGCACATGTTGTCTGATTGTGCCATTTCCAAAGCCATGCTTCACCTGGATGACATCAGTGCTGTAAGATTCCTCTTTGAGGGATTCTCTCCCCCACCCCCACACACACACACTTTCCTACTCTTGCTGTCTCTGCCGCTACCCCCAGAGACAAGCAGCAGCATTAATTAAGACATTGCCATGCTAATGCTCAGCCACAGGCTTTGCCGTATACTCAAATCCCAAAATAGACCGTGGTTGCAATAATCCCCATGCATTTACATTGTGTGTGTTTCCCCCAAACCGCTCTCAGCCCCACCATCACTCACGCTGCATTTATTTAAGGTACATTAAAAATTAAAGGACAAGGAATGGTAGAAAGACCACTGGAAACCTCCAAGGCACTCCAGAGGGTTGTGATGCTTTGATAGGGGAACATAAAAAAAGAAAAGGCAAGCACACATCACCTGTAGGCCAGAAATCTAAGACATGCAACCACTGCTGATGAAGGTGCTTCATACTGGCAATTTTACGGCTTAGCTGGTGATATGTACTGAGTTGAATAGGATCCAAAAGGCAGTAGTCTGATTAGTCCTAGAACAATAGGATTCAGAAAGCAGCAGTCTGATTGGTCCTAGAACAATAGGGTCCAGAATGCAGCAGTCTGATTGGTCCACAGGAGCCACCCAATCCAGCTCCAGGTGGAAGTGAATCCGCAACCTGATTGGCCTACAGGTGAACCCCAGAATTAGCCAATCATGTGGAGCCCATTGTGTAAATAATGTATATAAAGCAGACATTCTTGGGGAACTTCCATTCCTCCTCACCACTATGAGCTGAATAAAGAGCATGAAATCCACTCTTGACTTTGAGTATATTTCAGCCAGAATCCTTATGATGGCAGCTGTACCATAGAATAAGAGCTGGAAGGGACCCTGAGGATCATCTAGTCCAACCCCCTGCAACACAGGTATATGCAACTGTCCCATGCAGGGATTGAGCCTGCAAACTTGGCATTATCAGCAGCATGTTCTAACCAACTGAGCTATCTGGGCTGACTAGTTCAGACTAGTTCAGAGACATCAAGGGCCTGGAAACCAAGCCTTATGAGGAACAGTTAAGGGAGCTGGATTTCTTTAGCCTGGAGAAGAAATGATACCTAAACGGTTGTTCCATGGAAGATGGAGGAATCTTGTTTTCTGCTGTTCTGGAGAGCGGGACCCAATGGAGTCAAACAACAAGAAAGGGGATTCCAACTAAACATTAGAAAGAACTTTCTGATGGTAAGAGCTATTCAACAGTAGAACAGACAATCTTGGCAGTGGTGGACTCTCCTTCATTAGATATTTTTAAACAGAGGTTGGATAGCCACTTGCCAGGGATTTTTTAGCTGTGCTTCCTGCATTGCAGGGGGTTGAACTGGATTGCCCTCAGTCCCTTCCAGCTCCACAATTCTATGATTCTACAATCCTTCTCAGTCCACAGAGGCATCCCTGTCTATTGCCTGCAAACAGCAGTGAGAAGAAGGATGAGGGATGGGGAGGGGAGTGTATATTAAAAACAACAGTGACCCTTTTGAACTTCCTGCATTGATGACCTTTTACCAGCTTCTTATGGGAATACAAATACCCCCATCACACTGGTTTGGGCTTGATTGGAATTGAAATCCCCCAGAAGGGTGGGGAAGGCGGGTGATGCAATAAAACCTCCCAATTTCATGTTAAACCACTGACATTTTAGAAAGAGAACTAAACTGACACTTGCCAGTCTATTGTTGTGAGCTACACTGAAGCAGAAACTCCTTGGTGAAGGTCGCAGTGCAGGCAGCAAAGATGGGAGTCTTTTAGCAACACCTGGCACGACCTTTTTTTCTGTCCAAGGGCCACATTGCTTCATGAACAAATTCCCAGGGACCAGAATGCCAGCAGTGGGTGGGACCAGAGGAAAAAGTGGGCAGAGCAACATGAATCTTACCTAGGGACAGTGGCCTGCATTCCAATCACACACAAGCCAAAGGTTTCTACACATGCACACACACCTCTCTCCATCCAGGCAAGCAAGAAACATGAACATGTATTCAAAGATAGCACTCAATAAGAATATCATAGAACATAGACTCATAGAGGTGGGACTGATTCGGATGGTCCACCCCTGCCACTTAATAGATCCAAATGGTTTCCAGAGAGTGGTAGGGGATGCTTTATCCCGTGTTGATGGCCTTTCAGCTGATTCCCTGGTGGCCCACTGGAATGTGGAGTTAACCAGGGCTATTGACTGTTTGGCTCCAAAGCGCCCTCTCTGATTGCATGGAGCCTGGACAGCCCTGTGGTTTTCCATGGATCTGAGGGCAATGAAACAATCACTGAGACAGCTAGAGCGCTGGTGGCAGATAACTCATTCTGAAGCTGACCGGACGCGGGTTAGAGCTCAATGTCAAGCCTACCAAGTGGCGGTAGCGACGGCGAAGAAGACTTTCTTCACCGCCTCTATTGCATCTGCAGAAAACAGTAGCAGGAGACTCTTTCAGGTGGTTCGCAGTTTAGCGGAACCACCTGCTCCATCGGGGCCCAGTATGGGCCACATGATCTTCTGCAATGATTTTGCAAAGTTTTTTTCAGATAAAGTCGCTCAGATTCAGGGAGAGGTAGACTCCACCGTGGGAGCACGGCCAGGGCGGGAGAGTGCTAGAGTCCTGTCTAGTCAAGTTGCGTCGGATCAGTTCCAATCTATTACCACTGAGGATGTGGACAGGCTGCTTGGACAAGTGAAACCAATCACCTGTCTCCTTGATCCTTGCCCATCCTGGCTTATAAAAGCTAGCCGGGAAGGGCTGGGCGATGGGCTTCGTGGGGTGGTGAATGCTTCTCTCTATGAGGGAGCCTTTCCAGACCCGATGAAAGAGGTGGTTATCAGCCTTGCAAGGTTGCTGTGTGGTTTGAAAGGATGGGGAGAACCACGTACACCACTTTGAGCTCCTTGGAGAAAAGGTTGGGGGTATAAATGCAATAATTGAATAAACTGGTAGATTTACTTTTAAATGCAAACTGAATTGCATTTCCTCCCAATCTCTAGCAGGTGCCATTTTGCCATTTTGCCTCAGGCAGCGGAATGCCTTGAGCTAACTTCCCAGTTTTCACATGCACCCTGGAATTTTTCTCTGCTCTGATTTTCGAAGGCAAAGGTTTTGGTCTGAAAACTTCCAGTTCAGTCAAGTTCATAACCGAAAGTGTGCCTTAATCTGCCGGTGCTTGTTAATCTGCCTGCTGACTCTTGCTTGACCGCAGTAACTCCCCTCCTTTTAAACCTGACAGAGCCAGCCTGTTGGCCACAAACCTGCACCTCAGCATTTTCTTGCTTGACAGCCAGGCTCTGATATTTATGGAGATGCTCTCAAGTAGCTGCGTTCCCCCTGTTACTCCATGCTTGAAGGGTTATTTTTGCATTGCTGCTAGTCAATACATTCCCCTCTGGTGATATAGTAAGTATAAAGAAGCAAATAACTACAGACGAGTGCCTATAATAACTTGGGTAATGACAATATCTTTGGCTAAAACAAAACAAAAAACCCACCTCTAGCCTGGAGCATATTGCTTAACTGCTGCTGTTAAGCAAAGAAGAAGAAGGATTTCCACGGCGCTAAGATCAGACCCACATTTCTAATTAAATTGCTGAGAACAGAAAGGGATGAACTTGATGGGATGTGGGGCATGGAACAGAATGGGCTGGCAACAACAGGCTAAACTACAAAACAAAACTCTGTCCAAGAGAGAGGTGGTGGAGGGGATTTTATTTTATGGAGCACACTCTCCTAACACTAGAACTCGCGGGCATCCAGAGAAGGTGAAAGTTGGAAGATCCAAGACAGATGAAAGGAAGTAATCCTTCACACGGCACATTGTTAAACTATGGAACTCACTCCCACAGAAGGCATCAATAGCCACCAACCTGGGTGGCTGTAAAAGAGGTTCGGATGAATTCATGGAGGAGAGGGCAGTCACCGATGAGTTGCCGTGATGGCTATGCTTTGTCTCCATGGTTGAAGGTGGTATCCTTCTGAACACAAGTTGTGGGAGAACACTCTTGTGTTTGGGTCCTACAGACCTAGAATCAGCTGGAAGGAACCCTGACCCCCTGCAGTGCAGGCATATGCAACTGTCCCTTATGGGAATCGAACCTGTGACCTTGGCGTTATCAGCACCACACTCTAACCAGCGGAGCTATCCGTACTTGTGGGTTTCCCACAGGCATCTGGCAAGCCACTGTGAGAACAGAATACTGGACTAGGCAGGCAGATCCAGCAGACTCTTCTTACGCGTGCTCTTACTTGTGCTCACAATTTTATCAGGGTGGTTATATGTATATGCAATCACACTTTCAATGCCATTTGTGCCTACAAAACAGGCATCCTACTTCATTTGGAATAGGTGTGCATCCCATGCATTTCAAGGAATGCATAGCATAATCTATGTATTTTCCTCCTCACCTCCTACAGCTTCCACCCGAAGCCACAACCAGGACATGAACACCATAGGAGCCAACTCCTAGGGGTTGTGGGGGCTTTGGCTCCCACAATAAAATATTTGAGGGGGCTGGGCCCCCACAAGTTGATGGGCATTCCCATTCAAATGGTGTGTGTGAACTGTGACATGTGATCAGTTATGCAGGGTGGGGCTTACCTGGGCCCCCACAATATTTTATTCAAGTTGGCACCCCTGATGAGCCCAATAGGCTTCTCTCACTCTTGTTCCCCAGTGACTGACGTTCAGAGGCAAAACTACCCCTCATCCTAGAGATAGCATATACCCATCATGACTACTTATTTATTTAATGGGGAACCTATGGCCCTCCAGATGTTGTTGGATTACAACTCCCATCTGCCGCAGCCAGCAAGGCCAATAGTCAGGAATGATGGGAGTTGTAGTCCAGATTATTATCATCATTATCATTATTTATTGAATTTATATACCGCCCTATACCCAGAGGTCTCAGGGCAATTCACAGAACAAAAACAAAATATAAAACCACAAAATATATACCGGTAATCAAAATAAAAACAACAACCCAGTAACACCCCCCAATGCATCTGACAGGCCATAATTTCCCCTTCCCAGGTTTAACAGACATGGTCTGCTTTTCCGTATGTCACCCAAAGTGGTTTATAAACTCTGTGTGTGTGGGTGTCTCAGTGCACATAAGAAAAATCAAATATTTAAGCCATTGTAAAGAACAGTCCTAAGGGGCAAACACAGCAATGGCCTCAGAGCATATGGCTGCCTTCCTTGCAAGATTCTCAAAACAACAACAACAACAACAACAACAACAACAACAGGGTTGGAACATCCTGTTTTGCTATTGAGGCAGAATGGGGAGTGCTGCTTTGCCCATTGCCACCATGTGTCCTGACACTGGTGGAGAAGCACCACCACTATTGGTGCCAACTTGGGGCACACTAGCACCAATTTCAGGAAAGGACAGGGCAGGCAGGGCACCCAGCAAGCTTGGGAAGCTTCTGCCACCTGTAGCAGTGACCTCACCCTGCCTAATGGCTGGGCCAGCTCCGTAAAGGGCCATAATTTATTCTGAGAGCAGAATTTATATTTGCTGTTGCCAGGGTTAAAATTTATTTACTTAACACTCTGCTTAGCGGGTATCGCGCAGCAATTGCTCTCTCGGAGACACAAAAACATAATTGAATTCACTTTAACACCACTAGTCCACATCCGTCAACAATTCTGCACAACAGTGTAATCAGAGAAAAATCACAAATCATAGCAAGCATTAATTAATCCAGGAAAGTTGAAAAAAGAAAAGAAAACCCCATCAGGTGAGCAGTCCCATTAAAGGCACATCATAAAGCCAGATATTAGCGGCATGTAATTAAGAAAAGGACGCGGGTGGCGCTGTGGGTAAAACCTCAGCGCCTAGGACTTGCCGATCGCATGGTCGGTGGTTCGAATCCCCGCGGCAGGGTGAGCTCCCGTCGTTCGGTCCCAGCTCCTGCCCACCTAGCAGTTCGAAAGCACCCTTAAGTGCAAGTAGATAAATAGGTACCGCT